GTGTGTGTGGTGTGTGTGTGTGTGTGTGTTTGTTACGCTCGTGCATTTTTAAACACTTGGACTGATTATCAGACAGAGTAAATCAGTCATCTTTATACGAAACTGACCTATCCTAACAACACACAACGAGGTGGTATTTATTTATTTTTATTTTATAGAGGGAACATAAACACCGCAGTAAATCCTTGTATCTCACGCATCAACCACTCTGAAATCACAGTGCCACTTTTCTGTTGTTGGTTGACTCACTTCTTTTGTTGAGCGTTGGTCGTGTTGTATGTTTATGTCTTCATTCGGAATAACTTTATCTTTCCTTAGTTGATGTGCAGTCTTTTTTGTGTGGTATATTGTATAGTCTTTTTTTTGTTCGTTATGTGCAGATGTGCGGCTGAAATTGGTTCAATCACTTGTGACTTGCTGGCAGGTTACTTGGTGTCGTGATATAGATTGTATTAGTATGTGTGTTTGTAGATAACTAAGTGCTCTTTATTTTAATTCACGTTATCAACTACTTTGCTAGACGATTTAGTAGGAATGTTTTGTTGCGAGATCACGCTGACTTTGTTTCTCCCTCTATCTGACTGTCTGTATCTGAGTTGATTATCTGAACTGTCTGCTGTATTGCGAATGGTTTTGGAGTCCTGATATATTTTTTTTATGGTAGTGTGTGTCAGATATAAGTCTTATGTCTGAGGTAGATTCTGTGTTAGTCTTCAAACGTTTTGGTCAATGGGGAACAGTTTTTTCCGCCGCGTGGTCCAATGTCATATAGATGTGCTTGTAACCACGATATAGTGTGTGTTTAGCTTATAATGTTTCACTGTAACTGTCTCAGTGAATTAAAACGATTTGATGTTTCTGGTTGTTTATTATGTATGACTCTACGTGTATGTCTTAAATATCAGTCGTAATTTGATCAGGATAGTGTAAACACGTTTGATGATATTGTGTCTTGCAATTGCTGTGCTAGATAGTATTTATCATGATGAAGCAATGAAATCCCATCTGCGTATATTGCATTGTTCACAGTATCTTATGCTGTGTGCTCATTGGTGTTTGCTGTTTAGCGTATATTAAGACAAGATGGTGGTCTAGATTGTGCCTAGTTTATTTTCGGTCTTTGATCTCTGCTATGACTGTGGTTAATATTCAGATTGGTGAGTATCTATATGAAAAAAGTATCGCAATTGTGGAAGATGTTGATGGTTTGCTTTTTGATCTTGTGAAAACGCGCGGAGCTCATTGTCACTGGATGAGGTCCAGTTTGTTATACATGTCCAGTTTGATATTTCTTTCATCTGGATGTAAGTTTTCACTAGTTGTGGATTGTTGAGTGGCAATGTATGGATGCACTACATTGTCCGAAATAGATAGATCGAATCAATCACGGAATAGTGATATATTCAACTTGATGTTTATATACACTCAAGGTTTCATATATATAATTAGTAGAAGATATAGAGATGGTAATAAAGAGCAGACGCGCGCATTAT